ATGGCAGCATGACCTGCTGGCATATCAGCTGATCCTCCCAGTTTTGTATCATCTGCAAACTCTGTCTCATCATCCAAATCATTAATAAAGATGTTACACAGGACCAGACCCAGTATTGATCCCTGGGTACATTTACTGAAGGCAACAAGAAAGACTTCCACATCTCTCAGATTCAATTCCAGCTAGGCTCTGACGTGCATACTTGCACAGTGTCTCCATATTCCTCTTAGGTTACACATCCCTGCTTCTACCTCCTGTGTATTTCCTGTTTATGCTTGAGTTTTGTCAGAAGCTCCTTGCTCATCCATGCAGACCCCTGGCATTTCTGACTGACTTCCTGCTTGATAGAATGCACCACTCCTGAGCTTAGAAGAGGTGAATACCAACCAGTTTTCTTGGGCTCTTCTTGCCTCCAGGACCTTATCCCTCGGGACTCTTCCAAGCAGATCACTCAAGAGGCCAAAGTCTGCTCTCCTGAAAGTCAGGGTTGTGGTCCTGCTTTCTGTCTTGACACCTCCTCTTAAGATCCTGAACCCCATCATCTCACAGTCACTACAGTCAGGCTGCCTTCGACCTTCACATCTGGAACAAGCCCTTCCTTGTTTGTGAGTACCAGGTCCAGCAGACAACTTCAAAGTTGTCACTGACGCTCTCCAAAGACTCTTGGATTGCTTATGGCTGCTGCTCTCCTGGAGCCTTCAGTTAAGCTACAACTCAGATGCCACTCCTAACTCATTCCACGGTCAAATCCAAACTCTACACATAACATCAAGGTGTTGCTTTAAATATAAAGTCAAGCCAACTGCTCTGCCAAGGAATACAGCAGGAAAATTGAGTACATCTGTTGCTAGAGTTAATATTACATTAAAGATATACCTACAGTTTAGAAAAAATAACCTACAAACTCCACTGAATCAATCACTTTTGTAATACTAATCAAATATGCTACCCACAGCTTAGACATGGGAGAAGGTACACACTAGGAATTGTCATATCAGGAAGAATAAAACTAAGAAAAGAAAAAGGGAAGTAAATTGATTCAAGACAGGAGTTGAAGAAGAGTGGTGAGAGAGAGCCAAGACAATAATTCGATGTGCTTTTTCCAAACCTTGGCTTTTCCCTGCTGAATAGGAGATTCCATTGACTGCACTGAAGTCACGTGTGTTTTATGATCCATGAAAAACATTAAATCAATCACTTTTCTTTGGAACTTCTTTTGAAACCAGGAAGATTTTTTTCCCCCTAGTTGCTAAATAAGTCCATGTACAGGTTTCACACATCTTCCCCATCTGTCCATGCAAATATGATTTCAAATCAGTCAAAAAAAAACAAGAAAAAAACAAACCCACCAAACCAAAAAAAAAAACAACCACCCACGAGAAAACAGAAAAAGTTAATTTACGCTCCTTGTAGCTCATACAACAAGAAAACAAGTTAATTTGTGGCCTCAGTGATTGGTGGTTTGATTTAAACAACCACTGGGAGTGGCATGGAAGTGGAATGCCTAATGGTAGCTCACCAGAACATAGGCTGTACAGAAAAAGTAAATGAATCGCATTCTTCAATTTACTCACAGCTACAGTTGCCAGATTAGTTAATAAAAAGTGAATGAAGTTATGACATCAGAAAAAAATAACTCTCTGCCTTCCCCCTCCTGACAGGAACAGTAACTTTTTGCAAGAGTTTCACAGGCTAATCATTCACAGTGTAAGGTGGCTCGAGTTGTCATTCCATTCACACTAACTCCCAAGGAGGGCAGCTCTCTTGAAATGACATAATAAAAAATAAATACTCACTTCTCAATTAAACTTCCTAAACAATCATAACTCTTAGGTGTTCATAATCAATCCATGAATCAGTTTAACAACTGTAGCTAGTGAAACTGGTGCTTTATTATAAACTCTTTCAGGAATATTAATTTTGACTCAAGTCCAGATGACCTTTTAGCAACAAGAAGACAAACCTTGAACGTATACCTAATAATGTTCATAATCTTTACATAAATAATGATCCTCACAATCTGTTCCTTAGTGCAATGAATTTTCTTGAGTCACCTACATTGTCATTCTCCTACAAAGCACTGTAATTAAATGTAACAGCAATTAAAATGCATACAGCGCAGAATATTTCAAGGAAACATTCAACTATCTTAGATTTATTTTCTATAAAGCTCAAGACAGTGTACAGAACTCTTGTTCTCATAGGTTATTTCCTTATTCATACAGATTTAATTTGTGTTCAAAACTGCCAAATAACCATAAATACATTATAAATACACAACATAGATTCTGGAATAACTCAAATATCACAAAGGTAAACTTTGAATCATTGAGAGTAGTTGTAAAATTTCAAAGCATGCGTTTATAGCTCTGTTCCTGTTTTGTTTTTTTTTCTGTTCCATATCACACAGGCTTTGTAACTCCACTCCATCTTCCAAACCCATCAGAATCTGTCATCTGCTCTGATCTAAGAAAAGCAAACGATACTACAAGATCTATGACGTCTCTGGCACAATGATAGCAAAGTGCTGGATTCCACAAATAACAATATTGTTTCTTAAATGATCCAAATAGTAAAAGTTAAGGCTTCATCGTGCTTCAGATACCTTGATGTAAAATTGAACAGCACCATGTGGAAAAGAAAACATAACTGGTAAACTTTTAAACTAAAGAATAAGGACTTGCAGCACAGCAGCATTTCTCACTAATTCTGATTGCATAAGTACAAAAATACATCACACTCTTACTAAGTTCCTGGTGCTTTTCTAACTGGAATCCTGCCAGATATTTACCGTTCTGTATTAAATGCAACATCTGTTACTGTTTATAATGTCTATATGCTGTTTTGTACAAAATGCGCTTTGTAAATAGTAAGCATTTGGTTTTGTTTATCGCAAAAATGCTGCTATTACAAATTAACCTCACCTTTCCCTTTCTTGCTGTATGTTGCCCAAAACACCAGCTACTTCATTCATCTCCTTTCCCCGAATAATGAAAATCCTGAAGCAAACTGAATGAAGGTGTAAGAACAACCTCTGATTCCAAACAGAACCAAAAAGAACCGTTCTTAGCAGCATCTTCAAGTAGAAGATATAAAAAATATCAGTTGTGCAAGAGCACCATCTGCTGGCCAAAAATCAACTTCAGCAAAAATATTCTAAGGGAAAACCTTTTCATCAGTGGCATCCGTAACTTTCTCAGGAACAGTTTGGTACCAGCAGTTTTCCCTTCTTTTCCTCTAAACCCCACCGGGCTGACACTGTGACACGGCTGTCACACTAACTGCTCAGTCTGTTCACTCTCTTTACTCAGTGTCTGTTCCTTTCACTAACATTTCTCCTATTTTTTCATTTCTAAATAATATCCATTTAATCATAGCCACAAAGGTTTTTATTGTCTACCTATTACTGTTTTCTCCCCCCCCCTCCTTTATTGCCCACTCCCTGAAACTTTGAGTGCTTTCTTTGTCTCCTCTTACTATGCATCAGACACTGGAGTAGAGAGTGCTGCTCTTCTGACTTAACCCTTCGCTTTTCTGACCTCCTTTCCTCAGCCTCCCAATCCGATGTGAGTGCAATTCCATGAGAAGGAAACATCTGACCTTCTCTTTGACCAGTTAGCATTTCAAAATCAGATATTACTGCACTCTCTTTTCTTTGGAAATGCTGCTCATGCAACAGTAACCTTAAGATACTAAAGGCCAAAGAAAACACAACCTAAACAAGCGTGCATTCGTAAAAAGCTACACCAGAAAGCATTATCTGCTGACATTAAATAAAAAAAAAAAAAAAAAAAAAAAGAGAGAAGAATAAAAAGGGTAAGGTTCTCTTTCTTGAAAGAAACACTGCTTTCCTGTGCCCCATTTTGGTCTGCACAAAGCAACAGCCATGTAGAATGTTTCTTCACCAAAACACCCGAAATCAGAATCTTCAATTATATTCGAAATCATTTTTGTACAGCTATCTGGATGCACAATAGAATTTGGACTTGCTGCTTTCTCTAAACAACAGACTATTGGACATTTATAGCTATCTTTCAAAAATCACATAACCTAGTCCAAAAATTGAATCGCCTCAAGCCATCCTGGCTGACTGTATTTATATTTGGACAGAGTCTTCAAGCAATTTGTCTTCTGTGAAGAAATATGAACTATTAGCAGAGCCTCAGACCATCTGCCACAGGCAATTTTTTTGAACAACTGGAGAAGGCAGTTACAGAGAACACGCAGTAATTCCAGAACCCCATACATGGCAGATTCTTTTGGAGAAAAGTTTGCCCTGTATTTTTTTAATCCTCAAATACTTTTTGAAATGCTAACATTTCTTCTGTTAGTGTCATTACTTAAAATAACCCTTTCAAAATCTACTTCCTACAGCTACTTACATAGCCTAAGTGATACCAGTGGATATTCTGTAATTCTTTGGACAAGATCTGTCTTAAGAGTCCCTTTTTATCTGCAGAGATCTTGGCAAGTAACCAGCAAAATTCATTTTCTTAGGAACTTTCCATTTCGTCTACTTTAATTCAGAAGTAGACAGTAATTGTAAACACATTTCCGGGAAACTGCAGGCATTCCAAGCATGTATGAAGTACAGCTACCGATGTACCTCAGTGAAACAGAGAGAAATAAAGTATTTCATCTTTTAAAGTAAAAGTTATTTAAAATATCACTGAATTTCCACAGAGGTACACAGATAACACGCATACCAAAATGTCAATAAACAAATAAATAAATAGGAAGGAATCTCAAAGTTGTGGAGAGTTCCAAGTAAAGAAAGGGAAGAGTCTTATGATGAGGAAAAGTAGCAATATCCTACCGTCTAAGGACAGAACTGACTCTTGCAGATGTAGAGTAAACTTCAACCTTGCTTGGAGTCAAGTGAGTAACGCAAAGATTTCAAAAGACAGATTCTCAGTCACAAAGCAAGAATGCATCCTCTAAGTATAGTACCCTTTAAAAGAGGGCTGGAAGAGAGAAACTTCATAAAAAGCTATGCATACTTCATCATAAATGCTCCCATTGATATCTGCTCCATAAATTGGTGCCACAAAAGTCAAGTTCTTCCAGTATTTACGCTCCAGATCTTCATAATCTACGTATCTCGGGGTGCAGTATCTGCAGAGGAAGAGGTAGGCAAAGGTTCAGCATAGTCTTTCAACAACCACCTTCACAACGGACTACGCTTCTGACCCTGCAAACTGAATTGTAAGAGATTGCTTTGTTCCAAATTCACTGAAATAGAGAAATTGTTAGTTGTCCTGAACTCTTAGCCTCCTGATTCACTGTAGCATGTCACCTCCTACCTGACAGCTACCATAACTGCAGCCATACATCTACCCATGCAACACCACCTTCAGTCTCCAGCAACTACACAGCCTAGTTACGGGCTGTCTTCAGGCTGAGGCCCTCCTTTTTGTTTCACTTCCATAAACAAGACATACCTGCAAAAGCCACTAATTGACAAGTATTTGTTATCTCCCTGCCTCACTACCAGCTCTCGAAAGAAAGAGGGATAGGTCCTGCACAAGCCTGTCTCAGAACAACTCAAATGTATTAATTCTGACAAGTAGCAGCCCTTCCAGGCAAAAACAGTGCTTTCTTCTCTTCTTCCTTCCCCAGAAAAACTTTTTGAGAAAACACGTGATATTTCAAACAGTTAATTCCAAAAATTCTGCCACGCAGTGAAAAAAAATATTTAAGGGAATTTTTCTTTTTACTCCTCTAGTGCAGCACAGGGCACCGCACATTAATACGCGTAAATATACTTATTTATATACTTTCGGAAGGTTACTCACATCTCACGTAAAATCCTGTGAGAGCAGGACACAAGCATAGTACCGTAGGAAACACCCATCAATAGCTTTCGCCTCAGGACCCTTTGTCAGGCCTCTGCTCTCCCACATTTAAGTCTCAGAAAAGAAAACTTGCTCCCCCATTACTGCAACTCTGAGAAGTTTCTCTTTAGCACTGCCAACTTACTACACTTGAATGACTGGGAAGAAAACCCAAATGTACAAGAATTCAGTAGACCAGGCACATTTACATCATGCGATAACGCACAACAGGGACAAGCAAGCTAGCAAAACACATCTTAACCAAAGCATTCTCAGCAATGGAGTTGCTTCAATCATTCGTCATGATATGGCTCCAGAAATCAGACTGTATTTCTGCTTGGCACTGAGTAGTACGGATACATAAACTCAGTTACCATAACACAAGTATCTTGATTACGGGATGCAGGTATGCCCGTATTTCCCAGAGGTCAAGGTGGAGAAGCACCCCGGTTCAATGATGAATTACAAATGCCTAAACAAATAAAAGATGCAATGCATTAGGCTGAGCACACACAATCCTTTCAAAGGCAACTATGATTTAATTTAGGTATTCATGGCCCTTCTCTCTTTCCCAAAGGGAATGGGAAAACATTACAATACTCAAGAAAAGAGTCTTAAACTAAGAAGTCTTCTTCATTAAGGAAAAAAATTATTTTTATGAGAGAATAGGGGCTCTCAGCCACTTAACAGTTTAAGGCATACAGACTGCATTAAGGGTGTCATAGGAGGTTGTATGACACATTTTCTCAAGTGCAACAACAAATATTTGGAAAGACCCATAGCCAGTAACAGACAAGCCCTCCCAACTGTACTTAACTGTACCTATGAAATGAAGTTGTAAACTGATTTCAGTAAAAAACACGAAAACTGAAATCAAAAACACTTCCAAAATATCTTCCATGATACAAATATTATAAACTTAACTAACATCATGATATGTATTAAAACCTTCACAGTATTTTTGCATTATCAAACTATTTTAAGAAATCAGTGTTTCTCATTTTATCATGGGTTAATTAAAGGTAAACTATAAGCATATACAAACAGGTATCTTAGAAAATGACATCAGATACACATAGGTTTTATATTTTATCCTCCCCTCTAACGGTCACTAAACAAATATTTTTAAGAACTACAAAATAGGTTCCCATTCCCACTTACCAGAGGAAGAAAATTGTAACTGTGATCACCTGAATTTTTCACAAGTAGCATATGGCAGAAACACACTGATTCTTTTTAAATAGGAAAAAGATCAGTTTAAACTTTTACACAGGCATGGATATTATGGAATGTTTGCTGAGAAGCCTCTTTAAAAGCTTTTCATGACCTAGTTTTTCCTGATCTTGGTAACAGCTTCTCTTCTTACCTCTTCATTTCTTAAATTAACTGATGAGAGAAATTTTCCTTCCAACTAAGGCAGTGTTTCCTTCCTTAATTATACAGTGTCCTGGTTTTGACTGCAACAGAGTTAGGTTTTCTTTTTAGGAACTAGAAGAGCTCTGTTTTTTGATTTTAGTCTGGGACTGGTTAGGAGAAGAATGTTGACAGCGCACTGATGTTTATGGTTGGTGCTGAGACATAAAGGACTTTTCAGCCTGCTGTGTTTTTGCCAGTGTGCAGGAGCACAACAGGATAGGGGGGAGCACAGTCAAGACAAAAGGTCCACAACTCGCCTTAAGATTTGAACTTAGGATAAAGGGCTAAATTGGCCGATGAAGTGTTCCATATCATGCAGCGTCATGCCCGGTATACAGATAGGGGTTGATCAGAAAGAAGGGGCTTTTGCTTTTCTGAGGGCTCTCACTCTGGGAATCTCAGAGTTCTCTCTCTCGCGCTCACTCTCCTTTTGGGCTTCTCACTCACCCAGTATTGCAGTGTCAGGGCTTACCTGTTTCGGGATCGTTTAGCAGGACAAAACAGGCATTGGTCACCGGGTGGTGAGCAATTACACTGTGCATCACTTGTTTGTATTATTTTATTATTAAAATTATTATTTTAAATTGTTCTTATCTCAACCCATGAGTCTCATAGATTTCATAGATTTCTAGGTTGGAAAAGACCTTAGAGATCATCAAGTCCAACCGCCCCTAATCCCCATTAAACCATATCCCTAAGCAGTTCATCCACCCTTTTCTTAAACACATCCAGGGATGGGGACTCAACCAGCTCCCTGGGCAGCCTATTCCAGTGCCTGACAACCCTTTCAGAGAAGAAATACTTCCTAACATCCAACCTGAACCTCCCCTGACTAAGCTTATACCCATTTCCTCTTGTCCTATCACCCATCACTAATGTAAAGAGCCCTTCCCCCCTTCCCCCACCTCCCCACCATCCCTTCTCAAGTATTTATAGGCCGTAATCAGGTCTCCCCTCAGCCTCCTCTTCTCCAGGCTAAACAGCCCCAACTCCCTCAGCCGCTCCCCATAAGTTTTATTTTCTCCTCTGCTTTTGCCCTTTAATTCTCTTTCACATTCCCCGGGGGTGAGGGAGGGTCAGTAAGCAGCTGGGTGGCGTTTAGTCGCCAACTAAACCATGACATGTTTGAATATCTTTTATGTCTAGGATCCTTTAACTCACCTTCCAGAAACTATTTCTAGTCAGGTTTGAGGAAAGA